TGGTACTACATTATCCTGGAACTCCTTACACTTTGTTCAAACCTTCCAGGTGCCTCTAATTAATAAAACTTCCCTATCTCTGGTCCTCCCTCCATCTTTCATTCTCTTAATATACTTCACACACTGCCCGTCTCACTGCCCCTTTATAAATACAAAACACAGATATCTTTCACGTCTTTCATTCTAACCCTGTCTTATGTGTTCACCCAGAACGCCTCTTTCTTTCTTGTATTATATCGTAGCTCTTCACGATCTTCAATCCTCGGCATCATCACCTTCCTCCTCCTCCGTCTTCCTCTTCTACCTTCGCTCCTCCACTTCCTTCTTTCCTCTGCCAGTCCCTACATCACTTCACCTCCTCCTCAACGTCCTACCTCTTCCCCCTGCACACCATCCCTCCTTCCAATCTGACCTCGCAGTCTTCCACCATAGCAAGCCACCAACACACTCAACCCTACCTCCTCTATGGCTCCTCCACAATTTGATCCTTCATCAACTACGCATATAACTACATCCCTCACCAAGCCTAACCAAACCATCCAATAACCATCTCACCACCACCTCCCACAACGGACAACCACCACCAACAAAAAAAACAAACAACCCACCCCACCCACCACAAACCTCCACCAACAACCCAAAACCACCACCACCACCATCAAACCAAACGCAACACAATGCCACCTGCCATTGCACCACACTAACCACCTCTATAGAATCCTATCTCTTCGAACACCACGCACGGATCAAACCTCCACCTCCTACCTTACTTAAAACGACCTCTGCGACCACCCATACTCAACCAACCACCAAACACCAGCCTTCCACAAACAAAAACCCACACACACTCCTCATTAAAAACCACCCTCAACTACACACCTCCAGACCTCCACCACTCCTCCACTCCCACGCACCTCACACACATCCACCTCTTAACCCACACTCATACCACCTCTACCCTCCAAACCACCTCCACCACCCACCACCACAACAACTCTCCACCACCACACACATCCTCTCGACACCACAACTCATAAACCTGCCACCCTCACTCACCATCTCCTGCCACACCAAACCACAACCAACCCATCCTCTCCACCACTACCAACAAACACCACCAGACACCCACCTCCTACACTAAATCACCACCGTACCTTACCACCCCTCCACCACCAACTCAACCACCACCAGCCTCTTCCGTCCTCCTCCTCGCCACACGAAACCACAACACTCCTTCCTCCACTTGGCCTGCTTTCATCGACATCCTTTCCATCTCCACAACTATCCACCACCCACGCACCACCACCCTCTTCCACCTGAACCTCGTCTCCTCCACCACTCTTACACACAAACCACACGCAGCTACCACCTCTTCTCCTCATCGACTCCCCCTTCCACAATATATCCTGTACACCACACTCAGTACGACTGCCTCCGTCCACCTTATATTTCCTCGCATCCCTCACTTCTTATACCACCCTCCACCACATACCCACTCCAATCCATCCTTTCCGTGGTCCTGCTCCTCTGATCCATATCCTCAAAACCTCCTCTTCCTCCACCACCTTCCCCTCCTCCTCCGTATCCTGAGTTCCTCTCCTGTACTATATTCCTTCCTCTCTACCTCCTTCGCTACTCTTACCTCTCTCCTATCCAACCTACGCATGCTCCACCGTCCTTCCCATATTTTCACCTATTCTCCTCCTCCTATCGTAATCCCTTCTCTTCCTCCTTCCTCTTTCACCTCCTCTTTATTATCCCCTCCTACATCCTCCTACCTCTTCACTTACCTGCCATCCTACCTCTTTCTAATCTCCACGGATCCTCGACATCTTCTCGTCCATCCGCTCCCCGTCCTCCTATTGTCCTACATTGTCCCCTCCTCCATCTCTATCCTACATTCTCTCTACTTCCTCCTCCTCCTCGCTTTTTTTCCTCCTCCTCTTTCCCCTCCTCACTCTCGTACTGCCTCTTTTTTTCCTCCACGCTTCGCACTACCTCCGATCCACCTTCTCCTATCTCTCATCCTCCACCTCCTTACTCCAACTCCTCCGACCATCATCTACTCCCCCAGGCACACCAAGACCACAACCACCAAAGCACCTCCTGCCCTATCTATCCCCTCCTTCTTCCACGCTCTCTTTTTACACTCCCTCTCGCTCGGGTCCTCTTCCTTAAACCTCCTGCGCCTCCTCCCTCTCTCCTCCTCCTCTTCTACCACCTCGCTCCACCTCTCCACATCTACCCGTCACTTTCTCCTCTTCCTCCTACATGTCCTTCCCCTCCTCCTCAACTCTATCCCACCTTCCACCTTCACCTCCACCTTGCCCTCTAGTGTCCTGCATTTACCCCCAGCCTCTTATACCACCTATCCTCAACTCTCGTCTCCACCAGCCTCCACCACCTCGCTAAACTACTCTACGGCCCTACGCATTCCTCACAACGCCCCTCCTCCTCTGCTCCTCCCTCGCCCTCCTCCTTCCTCCGTCCACTTCCTACTTCCCTCACCTTTCTCCTCTCACTTTCACTCTTTCCCCCTCACTCCTCCTCACCTCCAACACCTCTCCAGCCATCCTATCCCTACCTCCTCCTCACGCTCTTGTCCACCATCACACGCCACCAACCAGCCAACAATCCCTTCAGTCCCCCACGAAGATACTTATATCACTTTATACCATCCTCTCTACATACATGCCTTCCACTCGCACCATCCTCCACCCCGTCCCTCACCACTCCACCTCCAACCCCCACCATCCAACAACCCTGCCAACACACTTTCGCACCTCATTACAACGCACATTACCACTTCCCCCCTCCTCCCCTCATGCCAACCATCACCTCTCACCACCCACCACTTCCACCGGAACATGATCTCCACCACCAGCACCACCACTACCAACACACCACATACCACCCCCTCCGAACCACCATCTTCAACCCAACCACCTCCACGCACAAATCCTCCAACTGCACTCCTCCTCAATTTTCCCATACCCCACCTCCCACACCAACCCCACACAACTTCCTCCTCCCCTCCAAGCCCCTCTCTCCACCACCACGCTCGCTCCTCCGGCCAGGTCGCCAGCCTGTATATCCTCCACTCCTACTATTCTCGCCTCCTCTTTCCTCTATGATCTCGCCTTCCTCCTACCATCTTCCACACATCACTCCTCCTTCCGTCACACCACACCTACGCTAACACCCAAAGTCCCCCTTCTCCTCCTCCTCTTCAACTCCCTACGTTACGATGGCTTTTAGCTCACCGGTCATCCTCCTCCTCCTATCCGACCTCCTGCCTCCCTCCTACCAGGGACCTTACTCGGTTACTCCTCCTCGCAGCCCCTCCAACCTCCACCATCCTGCACCACCTCCTCCTCCTCTTTCATCCACATCCACTTCCCCCACACCACCTCCCACCTCCCTCACCAGCCACCATCACTCCTCCACCACAACATCTACCTCCTCCTCCTTGTGTTTTTTCTTCTTATTTTCCTCAGGTACTAACAGTTTAAGTAATCTGGTGTGTAATGTCTGTGTCTGAGTGTGTAATGTCTGTGTGCTGTGATGTAGCCTGTGTCTGCATGTATGTTTATCTTCCAGTGTGTATCATGTGCTGTCATCTTCCTGTCTGTGTTATCTGTCCTTTCATGTATCGCCAGTCCATACAATACCTTTAATAAGTCGGCCGTCAGGGTCGAGTCATGCAGCTCCTGCCCCCGCCTCTCTTCACGGTCACTTACTGGTAGGGTTCACCATCTCCTTCCTGCTTCAAGAGCCTTGATCAAGCGGTAGGCTTTTCCTTAAAGCTAGTGTATGGATACCCGGCACTCTACCCACTTCATGTCTACCAGATCTTGTTTCCATCTTTTCCCTCATGGCAACCTGGAAGGCTAGAATGAATAATTTCCTAACATTATCCCTCTGACTCATGTAAGTTCTCTAACCCTCCAGTCTTTGTAGGCCGTATCTTGTTTTCTTCTATTATCCCACATCTGAGAACAATCTGTCCTGTTCACCTTGTCAATGACTTTCTCGATATTTTGACACGTACGTTCTGCATATCCTTCTCCGTAGTCCCTTCCGACTTGTCTGAGTCTATGTACTGTGCTGGCGTCTGCATGTTCTGTCTTATAGTTTTGAAATGTATGTAATGATCTGTCTGTCCTTGCATGACTGTCCTGTACCGGGTACATGTCTGGCTAGTGTATGTCTGTCTGTTCTGTGTTGTATGTCTGTCTTCATTTCATATTTTTCTAAGTCTCTTGCTTATCTATTATCTGTATGTTCTACAGCACACCTCGCCTGTTTCTATTCCGTCTCCCTATTTGTGCACATATCAAGCAGCCTCCTTGACTACAATGGTATTCTTGGTTCTGTTTCCGACTACCTGTACCACTATTTGTTGGTGTGTAGGGTCGATCACGTACTCCAGGGCCCGCCTCTTTCGCTGGTCCTACTCCTGTCCTGTCATCCGTCTACCTGCCATGGCCAGTCTATCCTACTCGCCTTGCCATCTGTTCTTATACCCTCATCTGCACAGGTCTGTCACTTACCTGTCCTGCCAGCTTACCTGCCCTGCCAGTCCTGTCTCCTGTCTGCCATGGTCCCTGTCTGTGGGTGGCGTGACCAACTTCCTACTACCTGACGGGTGGGGTGGGGGGGTAGGTGAGAATATTCAACTGTACAATAACAACCCGGGAGACAGGGAGGGGAACGGGTAATGAAGTCCTCCGCCCTAACACCCCTCTTTCGCCTACATCATCTTCGGCTCCCATTCCCACACCCTTTCACGACCTCACCGGCCTCCCCCGGAGGACGCCTGGCCCGTCGGCTGCCGCCGTCGGCCGGCCGCCTGCCGCCCGCCGCCGGTGCGCCGCCGCCAAGCCTGAGCCGGCCCCTGTGCCGACCAGGCATGCCGCCCCAGACCACCCGTCAGGTCGCTCATGAGACGCAGGCCGGTCAGGATCCGACGCACCAACGCACACACTGTCGGCGACACTGACTTGGTGTATCTCATCCTATCTGAGACCTCCCCCACCCCCCTCAGCCGTCACGGCGCGCCACAAGCAGCACTACACCAAGGTAAGACACTATACTAGCCACCATCAACACCACTCTACTATACTAGCCACCAGCAACACCACTCTACTATACTAGCCACCATCAACACCACTCTACTATACTAGCCACCAGCAACACCACTCTACTATACTAGCCACCATCAACACCACTCTACTATACTAGCCACCATCAACACCACTCTACTATACTAGCCACCAGCAACACCACTCTACTATACTAGCCACCAGCAACACCACTCTACTATACTAGCCACCATCAACACCACTCTACTATACTAGCCACCATCAACACCATCTCTACTATACTAGCCACATCAAACACCACTCTACTATACTAGCCACCAGCAACACCACTCTACTATACTAGCCACCATCAACACGACTCTACTATACTAGCCACCAGCAACACCACTTCTATACTAGCCACCATCAACACCACTCTACTTAAAACTAGCCACCATCAACACCACTCTACTATACTAGCCACCAGCAACACCACTCTACTATACTAGCCACATCAACACCACTCACCACTCTACTATACTAGCCATTCCAGCAACACCACACTACTATCCTACCACAAGCAACACCACACTACTATACTAGCCACCAGCAACACCACTCTACTATACTAGCCACAAGCAACACCACTCTACTATACTAGCCACAAGCAACACCACTCTACTATACTAGCCACAAGCAACACCACTCTACTATACTAGCCACAAGCAACACCACTCTAACTATACTAGCCACAAGCTACACCACTCCTAATTATACTAGCCACCAGCCAACACCACTCTACTATACTAGCCACCAGCAACACCACTCTACTATTCTAGCCACCAGCAACACCACTCTACTATACTACCCCCAGCAACACACTCTACTATACTAGCCACCAGCAACACCACTCTATACTATACTAGCCCCCACAACACCACTCTACTATACTAGCCACCATCAACACACTCTAACTAATACTACCCACCAGCAATACCACCTACTATACTAATAGCCAACATCAACCACACTCTACTATACTAGCGCACCAGCAACACCACTCTCTATACTATCCACCATCAACCCCAACTCACTATTACTAGCCACCATCAACACTCACTCTACTATACAAGCCACCAGCAGCACCACTCCTACTATACCAGCCACCATCAACACCACTCTACTATACTAGCCACCATCAACCACTCAACTATACTATCCACCAGCAACACACCAATCTATAATCTATGCCACCATCACACCACTCTACTATGGACTAGCCACAGCAACACCACTCTACTTATACTAGCCCCCATCAACACCACCCTACTATACTAGCCCCAGCAAACACCACTCTACTAATACTTATCCACCATCGAACACCACTCTACTATACTAGCCACCAGCAACACTACTCTGTGCTATACTAGCCACCATCAACACCACTCTACTATACTAGCCACCAGCATACCACTCTACTATACTAGCCACCATCAACACAACTCTACTATACTACCACCATCAACACCACCGCTACTATACTAGCCCACAAGCAACACAACTCTACTATACTGAGCCATCCATCAACACCACTCTACTGTACTAGCCGACCAGCAACACCACTCTGCTATACTAGCCACCACAACGACCACTCAACTATATCCTAGCCACCGCAACACCACCTACTATACTAGCCACCAGCACACCACTCTACTATACTGAGCCAGCCAGCAACACCACCTACTATACTAGCCACCAGCAACAACACCGACTCTACTATACTAGCCACCAGCCCAAACCCCACTCTACTATACAGTCCACCAGCCACACCACTCTATAATACTAGCCAACCCATCAATACCACTCTACTATACTAGCCACAAGCACAACTCTCTTACTATACAAGCCATCAGGAGCAAACACCACTCTTCTATACCTAGCCACGTAAGCAACAACCACTCACTAACTAGCCACAAGCAAACACCACACTTCTATACTAGGCCACCACAACACCAATCAAACAATACTGCCACCAGCAACACCACTCTACTCCTAGCCACAAGCAACACCAATCTACTATACTAGCCACCAGCAACACCACTCTACTATAGCTAGCCACCATCACACCACTCAAACTATACAAGCCACCAGCAACACCACTCCTACTAAACTAGCCACCAGCAAAACACCACTCTACTATACTAGCCACCAGCAACACCACTCTACTATACTAGCCACCAGCAACACCACTCTACTATACTAGCCACCAGCAACACCACTCTACTATACTAGCCACTCACACACCACTCTACTAAACAGCCAACCCAGCAAACACCACTCTACAATACTAGCCACCAGCTTCACCACTCTGCAATACTACCTCACCAGCAACACCACTCACTCTACTAGCCCCAGCATCACGCACTCCTACTATACTAGCCACCGCACACACTCTACTAACTAGCCCCCAACAGCACTATTCTAGCCACCAGCAACACTATACTAGCTACCAGCAACACTATACTAGCCACCAGCAGCACTATATTAGCCACCAGCTGCACTATACCACTATACTAGCCACGAGCAGCACCATACTAACCACAAGCAACACTATACAAGCCACCAACAGCACTATACTACTACACTAGCCCCCAACAGCACTATACTAGCTACCAGCAACACTATTCTAGCTACCAGCAACACTATACTAGCTACCAGCAACACTATACTAGCCACCAGCAGCACTATACTAGCCACCAACAGCACTATACCACTATACTAGCCACCAACAGCATATACCACTATACTAGCCACCAACAGCACTATACCACTGTACTAGCCACCAATAGCACTATACTAGCCACAACAACACTATACTAGCCACCAACAGTACTATACTAGCCACAGCAACACTATACTAGCCACCAACAGCACTATACTAGCTACCAGCAACACTGTACTAGCCACCAACAGCACTATAATAATCACCAGCAGCACTATACTAGCCACCAACAGCACTATACTAGCCACCAACAGCATTATACTAAGACAGCAACCGTACACAATACTAGCATACCAGCAGCACGTTCACCACCCTATAAAAACACTGACTACCACCAGCAACCCCCAAAAAACACTAAACAAATTAAAACCCCCCCCCCCTTAGCCACCATCAGCACAGTTCTACCACCCTATAACACTATACTAGCCCACCAGCAACACTATACTAGCCACGCACAGCACTGTTCTACCACCCATAACAACTATACTAAAAGTCCCCCATCCACATAACACTATACTAGCCCACCACAGCACTTGTTTCTAACCACCCTGTAACACCATACTAGCCAACAGCAACACTAAACTAACCACCAGCAGCACTGTTCACACCACTGAAACACCATCTAGCCACAGCAACACTAAACTAAGCCACCATCACACTGTTCCTACCACCCTATAACACCTAAACTAGCCACCCAGCAACACTATACTAAGCCACAGCAGCATCATCTTCTACGCACCCTATAACACCATAACAAGCCACCAGCAACACTAAACTAGCCACCAGCAACACTAAACTAGCCACCAGCAACACTAAACTAGCCACCATCAGCACTGTTCTACCACCCTATAACACTATACTAGCCACCAGCAACACTATACTAGCCACCATCAGCATTGTTCTACCACCCTGTAACACTATACTAGCCACCAGCAACACTATACTAGCCACCAGCAACACTATACTAGCCACCAGCAACACTATACAAGCCACATTCAAGCATTGTTCTAACCACCCTGTAACGACTATAATACAAGCCACCAGCAACACTACACTAGCACCAGCAAAACTATACTCGCCACCAGCAAAGCACTATACCTAGCCACCATCAGCATTGTTCTATCTAACTACCACCACTGTAACACTATAACACCACCATCACACTATACTAGCCACCACATCATTGTTCTAACTACCACCTGTTCAACACTAAAACAATCCACCAGCAGCAACTATACTAAGCCACCAGCAACACTATACAAGCCACCAGCAACACACTATACTAGCCCCACAGCATTGTTCTACCATCCTGTAACACTATACTAGCCACCTCAACACTACACTAGCCACCAGCAACACTATACAACCACCCAGGAAACACTATACTAGGGGCACCAGCAACACCATTCTAGCCACCAGCAACATTATAAACACTATACTAGCCACCAGCAACACTATACTATCCACCAGCAACGACTATACTAGCCACACACAAACACTATACTAGTACTAGCCCCCATCAGCATTGTTTTCTAACCACCCTGTAACACTCAACTCAGCCACCAGCAACACAATACTACCACCAGCTACACTATACTTAGCCACCATCAGCACTGTTCTACCACCCTGTAACACTATACTAGCCACCAGCAACACTATACTAGCCACCATCAGCATTGTTCTACCACCCTGTAACACTATACTAGCCACCAGCAACACTATACTAGCCACCAGCAACACTATACTAGCCACCATCAGCATTGTTCTACCACCCTGTAACACTATACTAGCCACCAGCAACACTATACTAGCCACCATCAGCATTGTTCTACCACCCTGTAACACTATACTAGCCACCAGCAACACTATACTAGCCACCAGCAACACTATACTAGCCACCAGCAACACTATACTAGCCACCAGCAACACTATACTAGTCACCCAGCAACACCAAACTAGCCACCAGCAACACTATACAGCCACCAGCAACCACAATACTAGCCACCAGCTCACATAACTAGCCACCAGCAACAACTAATACAGCCACCAGCAACACTATACTAGCCACCAGCAACACTATACTAGCCACCAGCAACACTATACTAGCCACCAGCAACACTATACTAGCCACCAGCAACACTATACTAGCCACCAGCAACACTATACTAGCCACCAGCAACACCATACTAGCCACCAGCAACACTATACAAAAGAAA